ATGTACGTCCGCGATGACGGTGGCGGTGGCGGGGCGGCAGCGGCCGCAGGTACGGCGGCGGCGGGCGAGGGCGCCGCGGTGACCGAAGACCACCCCTCCTCGATGGCCGGCACCGGCGCCGATGCGCCGGCCCGGCGGTTGATCCACACGGCGTTGTTGGTGATGGTGAGCCTCCCCGTATCAGCGCGAAGCACAACGGCGGTGGCCGTCGAGTGGCTGTTGGCGCCGTCCAGGTATGTACAAGCATCTCACAGATAGAACGTCCGCCTTGCTGGCGTGCTTGACCCGCATCGTCCATACCCCCCTGGGAAAAAGGCACGACGTTGAGCTGCGGCTTCCGTCCAAACAAGACGTCCAACGGCGACATCCAGGCCTGGTTGCACTCGGTCGTGGAACGGTTGAAGCAACCGGAAGCCCAGGTCGCAGATGCGAACCACAGGCGATGTCCGTTCGCGTCAAAGTCGGGAGTGGAGGCGAGGTCGACGTGGGCCATGGGAGGGTGTGGCGACGCGCGGCGTGGCCCTTCATCGCGCGCCAGATGGTCCTCTCGACGACGGTGTTTTGTTTCGTGGTATCAGACGCGAGTACACCGCGGCCCTCGCCCGCCGCCGCCGTACCTGCGGCCGCTGCCGCCCCGCCACCGCCACCGCCATCGCGGACGTACATCTACACCCCGCCGGCAACAGCGACCACCGCAGCTCCGTCGCCGACTTCCGTGGCCTCGTCGTCAGCACCACCGTCCACCGCACCCGCGCTACCCCACCCACCACCGACGCCACCGTCGCAGCCCGCCAGCGCTGCCACTGCCGCTCCCGCTCCTCCGCACCCGCCGCTTTCAAAACAAGCCGTCAAGGAGTTGGGACGGGCGGCGACGAGGGTTCATGGCCGCACGTGTCGCGAGGGGGTGCGGTTCATGGATGAGCTGCAGCAACCGCCGTCACCGCCCGGTGGCGGCACCGCTCCACTTATGTATGCCTAGTAGCACGACCATCTGTCGCCGGGGCACGTCTAACCCGGTGTGACGAAGAGTGCCCTATTTTTCTTCCTCCTCAGAAGCTAGCAGATCGCTCCGGCCGAAAAGGAGGGCATGCTCGGTCGCCCGGAAATTAGGCGAAAATCAAACTTGGGCCCCTTCCATCGAGTTGGAACATGCCCGATACATCGAGCCTTTTTTTCCCTCCTGGGATGAAGGGAAAAAGGAAACAGGTCGCGATCCGCGCTCCGCGGCTTATTGCTTGTTAATTATGATCACACCCGCTTTGTTGGCGGGAGTTCCCCGATGGCCCTGGTACAGGGTGTACATAACTGGCACTTGCCTCATGTACAACCAACATGCAGGTAGGTGCTATCGTCCTCGGCGTCTTTAGCGACCTCTACGGGAGGCGACCGGCGTTCCTGGTGGCGACGCTGCTCGTCGTGCTGTTCGGCCTGTCGACCACCTTCGCCACCAGCTTCTGGTGGCTGCTGCTCTTTCGCAGCCTCGTCGGGGTCGGGGCCGGGGGAATGGGGGTGCCGTTTGATCTGCTGGGGGAGCTCATCACGCACAGGGAAAAAAGCCGGTACGGTAGCGCTTGAATCGTCATGTGTTTAGTTGCTGTGTGTTGTGTTTCCGGGAAAAGCCGTTGATTCACGGGTTGGTGCAAGGTCTATCCCGCTTGGGGGAAGAGGGAGGGAAAACCTGGTACATGATACACCCGTCGTGTGCGTGCGTTTTGACGGTTCAAACCGTCGTTCATGGGTCCACGGTTCTATCCCGGTTGGACGCACAGTGGGGGAAGCCGGTCCATATGCGCAAATGAGGCCGTCGTGTGTGCGTGCGTTTGGACGGAAACGTCGTTCATTACGTTTAAAACCTTTCCTTCTGCATGCGTGTTCCGTTTCTGCTGCATGCTGTACATGACAACCTCGACGGACACTCTTCCCGTGGCAATATGCATACGGTACGGTGCACCAATGACGGGGTAATATGCATACTCGCGGCAACAGTAACAACAAATCAACAACAACCGTAGCAACAATAGCAAGAACAACAGAAATGTCGCCGTAGTTCTACGACGGCATTGTAGCAAGAGCAGCTTCTGTTTCTTGTCGCGTGCCGGCAACACAGGATCCTCGTGGACGTCCAAGTGATGTGGGCCATGGGATCCTTGTTCGTGGGCTTCGCGGCGTGGGCCGTCCTTTTCTTCGGGCACAGCTGGCGCCTCCTGGCCCTCGTATCGGCGGTGCCCTCTCTGACAGTCCTGTTCTGCTTCAGCTTCATCCCGGAGTCCCCGCGGTGGCTTATCGCGAACGGAAGGTGACAATTGATAGTTTCGGAATTTCGAACATTCGAACGTTTTTATGTCTTGTTTTTCAATTCCGAAGATTTCCTTGTTTATATTGTGTTCTTCTCGATACACTTGTGAGCTTGTAAAAACTTCGATTTAGCGGCTTGGGTTCTATCCCAACAATAACATTGTATTGTTTACTTCGAAGTAGGTATCGTTGCATTTTGACGACATTTTTGTTTCGGCAACGGGTGCTGTTGAACAATCCTTGGCAGGGTCCAAGAGGCGGAAGAGGTTCTGAGGAAGATCGCGGGCAAGAACGGGATAGAGTTCACGACCATCACCATCGCACCAGAAGAGGTGTGGCGACAGAAAAGAGGCCCAAATTCTTAACTGCCAAAAGTTCTAAACTACCAAAAGTTCTTCACCGCCAAAAGTTCCTTACTGCCAAAAGTTCTTGAGTGCAGGCGCTGGCTGCAGGGGATTCGTCCGGGAACGAAACACATGTGGGAGAGGGACGCTGTTTTGTTTTGTTCGCTCGTCTTGTGATTCGCTCTGTCGAAATACGAGCATAACAAAACAAATCGGAAATGGTAACGAGAGAGAAACGTGGAGGCTTTATTTATTTTTTCTCTGTTGCCTTTTTCGTTTTGATCGTTTCATTCATGTTCTTTCGAAATACAAAATAGCGGAAGCGAAAGAGGCAACAGGTTTGAATGTGGTAACATGGGGTTTTGGGCGGTGGACGGTTTCGATATCAAAGTTTTCTTCCAGACTTTTGTTCCACATCGAACGGGAACAGTAAGCTGAACCCATCCCTCGATCAGTCAGCCTGTCCGTAATTTTCCAAGAATTTGACCTCTGGGGGGTTGACAACAGTCTCCGCCCATGGGCATCCCATCTCTCTTCACAAGCTCTTGTTTGATTTCATCTCACGCATTCCGGCGCCAGTCTATGCCCTTGACGTATATCAGCCGGGGTCGCACAGTAGAACGGTAATACACTGGGTGTTGCTTTCTACTTACGCTTAACCAAGTCAAGAGGCCTTCCGTATTTCTTTTTTTTTCTTTCTTCTACAGAAACCAAAGGGTAGGCGTGGCTTGACTGACGAATTCAAATACCCTTCCTTTTCCGGTCTTTTTCTGCAGAACACCTAAGCACAGGCATGGCTCGCCGAATTCAAACATCCTTTTCAAACATGCTTCCTTTTTATTTATTTTTTTCATCCTTTTCAAACATGCTTCCTTTATATTTATTTTTTTGCAGAAGCCGAAGGATAGGCATAGCTTGACTCACCAATTCAAAGGCCCTTCCTTTTTCCTTTTTTCCCCCTTTTTTCTGCAGAAACCGAAGGACAGGCATGGCGGCGTGGCGAACCTCTGGCGAAGATCCGACCTCAGGTCAAGAACGATCGTGTCGTGCATCATCTGGGCAGCCGTGCCGAAGGACATGATGCCCCAGTAAGACGACAGCAGCTTCTAGGACCCGAAAAGCGATGAATGTTCTTTCGACTACTCCATCCTGTTGTGCGCCTCGGCCAGGTGCAGAGGTTCATTTTATTTTCCGGAATTGTAACACCTTCTGTTGCGTTGTTATTTCAGTGTACATTTTCAGGGTTCGTTTTTCTGTGACCACCGGAATCGACCCCGTCAAGTGTTTGACTAGTACAGACAGAGGTAGGTACTGGATAGATGGAGATATCGGACCAGTTTTAATTGTTAAGACAACCATAACAACACTGATCTCTATCCATAGGCCAAGAAGTCCAGAGTAACTTCGCGATGCCGCCATACGTATACGTGAATCGCTTCGATGCTTGTGGTGCTTCGGCACGTCTTTCTCTGACGGCAGCGAATCGTTTTTCTCACATTTCTTTTATTATGAGGGGCTCTACGTCGGTACATTGCCGCGCATGCCTGACGCTCGCTACGGCATACATCCGGTGGCGCTTGTGCTATTATAATAGGTACGCCTAACGTTCGCGGTGATATGTTTCCGCCCCAAGAAAGCACGGCAAACCTAACGCCGAAAGTCGTAGAAAAAGTTGTCCAGTGGCACCCACCAGACAGCAGTCTTGACGAACAAGTATGCACGGTTTTACTTCTTGGCCCAGAGTTCTTTCACCTACATGAGGCTAGAACTTTTAGCAGTACTGCTTATTCGGATATGACGTCACAGGCGTTTTCTTTTGGGTGCAGGTCGCCCTTGGATCCGCAAGAAGGTCCGTGTTTGCCTATGGTGACCAATCACTGAGGCGTCCTATCGTGTTCCAACTTCACTCCATGTCCTCTTACCGCCTGAGGCTGAGCCACTACCTACCGCCCCCCCCCCCTCCGGGTCTGTCTGTTACCCCCTCTCAGCGAACTGGTGGCAAACGTCCTGTCGAGGTTCTACGTGGATCGTTTCGACCGGCGACTGAGCATGTCGATCAACTTCACGGTTTCGGCAGTGATGACGGTCCTGATGCCGGTCAACAGCGCGATGGCGTGGCTCCTGGTGACGTCCTTCTTCGCCAGAGGGGCGTCGTACGTGTCCTCTTGCATGGCGTGGGTAGTGACGTGAGTCCTTGCTTTGCTTTCCGGGAAGGGGTGCGTGGTGTACGCGCTCGTTGCTTGTCTTAGAGACCATCGAGCACGCGAGAGCCCAGATCACGGCAGAAGCGTAGCTTTCCAAAAAATGTGGAGCCCGTTTCTTGACCGTGACGATCTAGACTGTTTCCTATCGTGTGTGTTTTTGCTCGTGGTGTACCGTCTCCCATCATGACTCCAGTCGATCGGTATACCTCATGTACTGATATATTCACTTCCATACGACGGTGCATGCGTGCAGTCATCCCTGGGGGTCACAAGGCACGCCGTTGAGATAGAACGGGTCGGGCACCCGATACTGGCATTTTTTTTACAGGTTTGCTCGGTAACTCAGCTAAGTTTACCGTGTATTACATTCGCGGCGTCCCCTGTGGGGGGTGAGGGGAGTACTCACGTAAACGTGGTATGTTGTAGTCGTTGGACCATTGACCTGGGACATGTGTGTGCGGCGGGGGGGATATACGTGTGTCCAACCGTCGCCTATGTACGCTACAGCCGCCCCTCCTCCCCCAATGTCCTATACCTCGATTCAGGCCTGAGCTTTACCCAACCCAGATTAGGTCGACGGGGCACGCCTTGAGCAATGCCCTTGGGCTGTGCGGGGCTATCGGGGCGTCGTATTGGGTGGCGACGCCCTTCTCCAACGAAGTTATCGCGATCGGACTGTGCGTCGTCGGCATCATCGGTGGGATCACCGCTCAGGCGAGGAAAAGGCTTTTCCTGTGCTGCCTACATACCTCGGAACTTCGAACCCCATTTCACATAACAAACCATGCTGTCATGAAGTACATGGGCAAGAAAACGCTTCGGACTTGGAACTGCTTTCACACCACGCCATGCTGTCATGTACATATGCGGCACACCCCGTGAGGTTCGAACCGCTTTACATCCGCTGTCGTTATGTCCAAGAGAGGTCATATCCCGCTTCGTAACGAACCATGACCTGGTCCCCTTTTCCGGTTCTGTTGTGTTTTCCATTTGTCCCGCCGACTTTCGCGTCAACTCGGCTTGGTTGTTTCTCAGGCGGTGCTGCTTGCCAAGCACGAAGGCTTGGGACCAGGGAAAAGAGTCACCTTGGTTGTTTTCGACCCTCAGCTTTTGCAATCAATGCACAGGCTCACAACACTGACAGTGCCCCCCCCCCCACCGCTGTTCTTCCGCTTGCGTTGATGGCTTTTGTCTCAGAACAGGCGCTGCCAAGCGGCCACCGCCCGGAGTTCGATGACGACGGAGGTGTCTCGGATGATGACGAATCGAGGCCATTGTTGCAAAACCCGGTGGATATTCAGCGAGGGGAGTTATAGAGTTCGGAAGGAATTGAACCAGACGCGTCGACGCCCGCTCTCTCAATCAAGAAACCTTGACTTCGTGCATCACAGCAGTACAAGTAGTTTGCCTAGGTTACGCGTCGAGCCTGCTGTCGAGTCATTCATTTAGTGTGCCGAACTACGTCATTACTTGGCTTGTCGCGACAAAGTCGGCCTTTTTGATGCACGATGCGGGCCGGGAGGGTAGTGTATCCACTCTGTACAAGTAGGAAAAGCTGTATTTGTAATGGTAGCGTTTGTGTTCTTGTCGTGGTGCGGTGTATCGGCAATAGGTTGGTGCACAAATGAGTTTTTTGTAGGTATAAAAGACGTGTCTTTTCTTATCAAGCATCGTGCGCTAGCCGGCTGACCAATGAAAAATCAGTCTCGGTACCGTTGAAAATACAAAATGCTCCCATCGGCCACGATCTGGGACCCTTTGACGGGACGTCATTGGGGAGTCTACGCTACTCTCCGGATTATAGACAGATACTGTAGCATTTGTGCTTGTGTGTGTCCTACGATGCTGGACACTCGCGGTAGAAGTTGTGCGCGAAGTTCCGGCAGTTGTTGTTGGTGAGGTCGAACTGCCGCCCCCTCTCCCTTCGGAAGAAACCCGAAGCGATCACTGTTGGTATGTCCGTACTTGGGAGGAGAAGCCACGCTTTAACTNTAAGAGACAGGGGCAGGGATACTCCAGATCTACTTAAGTTACTCATACAACAACGGGTGCAAGGGAAAAACTCGGATCAAAAACCCTCGCCTACAAACTCAAAACATAAAAGAAACCGTCGCTATCACGAAGGATTCCAACGGCCGCACTATCAGGGCAGGACCAAGGCAGGACAGATTGGACAGGCCACGCTGATTACACACCCGAAGCAATTGGTCAAAAAACCCTAAGCTCCCGCCTCGGGCGACGCCCCTGCCCAACGCTTCCTGCGTGACATACCATGGTCCGAGACGC